ACCTCCTCCTCTGATTGTCAAACTGCCCATCTTCCTGTACCTTCCTTTTTGTTTTGTTTTTAGAGGTGGGAAGGGGGAGAGGGAGAGAGAGAATCTTAAGCAGACTCCACACTCAGCGCAGAGTTGGGCGCAGGGCTTGATCTCATGACCCTGAGATCATGACCTGAGCCAAAATCAAGAGTTGGACGCTTAAGTGACTGAGCCATCCAGGCACCCACGTACCCTCCTTCTTGAGGCATGTTTTGGCACCTAGGTATACCCTCCCTGGCCTCAGGGAAAGTTTCAAAGAAAGGGGCTCTGTCCCTGCTTTGCTGTCACCACCGTGACCTTTCTTTCCCTTTTTTTTTTAAGATTTTATTTTATTTTTTTAATTTTTTTATTCTTATGTTAATCCCCATACATTACATCATTAGTTTTAGATGTAGTGTTCCACGATTCATTGTTTGTGCGTAACACCCAGTGCTCCATGCAGAATGTGCCCTCCTCAATACCCATCACCAGGCTAACCCATCCTCCCACCCCCTCCCCTCTAGAACCCTCAGTTTGTTTTTCAGAGTCCATAGTCTCTCATGGTTCGTCTACCCCTCCGATTTCCCCCTCTTCATTCTTCCCCTCCTGCTACCTTCTTCTTTTTTTTTTTCTCTTAACATATATTGCATTATTTGTTTCAGAGGTACAGATCTGAGATTCAACAGTCTTGCACAATTCACAGCGCTTACCAGAGCACATACCCTCCCCAGTGTCTATCACCCAGTCACCCCATCCCTCCCACCCCACCCCCCACTCCAGCAACCCTCAGTTTGTTTCCTGAGATTAAGAATTCCTCATATCAGTGGGGTCATATGATACATGTCTTTCTCTGTTTGACTTATTTAAGATTTTATTTTTAAGTAATCTCTATACCCAATGTGGGGCTCAAACTCACAACCCCGAGATGACAGTCACATGCTCTACCAACTGAGCCAGTAAGGTGCCCCATCATTGTGACATTTTTTTTTCCTTTTTTAAAAAGATTTTATTTATTAGAGAGAGAGAATGAGCGGGGGAGGGGGAGGGCAGAGAGAGAGAGCAGACTCCCTGCTGAGCAGGAAGCCCAATGTGAGGCTCAATCCCAGGACCCTGAGATCATGACCTGAGCCCAAGGCAGATGCTTAACTAACTAAGCGACCCAGTCGCCCCCACTGTAGCATTTCTAAGTACAAACCCTGCACATTTTTCTTAGGTTGAACCAGTAACACTTTCTCAAGCTTCAATCAAACAATATTTACCATCAATATTACTAAATATCAGTTTTGTTTTTTATTAAATGTTTTCTACCCAGCCTGACCAAACTCCCAAGCCTTTAAAATGCACCCACTGAGATTCAATCTTCAAGCTCCCACCAAGCAGGGTGGCCTCTCCCTCCGCCTATAGGCTTTATAAGAGCACCCCATTCTCATGGCCCGAGCCCTGCCTGCCCTCTGCACCCTGGCCCTGTGTCTCATTCAACGCCGTATCCCAAGTACATCAGGCAACAGTTGGTCATTGTGGTTCTCAGCAGGTAACTGCTCAAAGAACAAGTCAATTCAACATTCATCACCACTATTTAGAACATAGCTGTTTTTGTTTTATTATTGTTTTAGAGACTGCCCTATTTCTAGATTCCATTAGAGAGTAAGAGCCTCAACCTTCAGCAGCAAAGGCTAATAAGACAGATTTTCAGGATATTCCAGGAACCAGGCAGAGATGCAACTTCTTTCTTTAAATGAAATAAACAACAAAGAACATGAAGTACTCTTCAAGATCACTGAAAATAAAAAGCAAATATGAATAAAAAGCAAAATAATACATATCTAGGCAGTTCTAAGGGTGAACACCCAAACATGGCTCCCAGAGTCTAGTCTACACCCAGAGGCCTCTTCATACCTGCAGAGAAGAGCAGCGTGTGAGAACGGGCACTGGCCGAGCAGGCTGCCCCTGCCCCTCAGGGCCCAGCACTCCTCTGGGGTGAGGACGGGAGACTGGGAATGTTAACTGGGGAACATGAAGGAGCTACAAGAACCAACAATGTACAGCCACATGGTCCTTTGTCCAACGGCTGAGTCACTCCAGCTCTGCAGTTTATCCCCCAGAATGTGAATTAGAAATAGAAAAGTCAAAGCTGTGCAAGTGATTTGAAGAGCATGCAGCATGCACACACACACACACAGACACACACACACACACACAGAGGAAGTAATGGAAGATTCATCGTTTTTAAAGGTTACTGAGCTCATGCCCATAAAAGGCCAACTAGTTCACTTTTCCACAAGTGGTCTGTTGCTACCCAACGGATCAGTTTGGGCAAAATAAAGAGAAAAAAGGAAATCCCAGAATAGCTTCTTAAAAATAAAATATTAGCAAGGAAGCGACCCACTTCCTAATCTGCCTCACATAAGGTTACAAGGATAACTACCGAAGAAGTAATTTGCATGTTAATCACAAAGTTAGGATTCTGAGTCTCTATAAAATAGTTCATCTTGAAAATTCTACAAATTAGGGGTCTTTTTCCATCCTCTGAGACTCTTTTTTCCAAGCTTGGAGCTCTTCTTTTAACCTAGGATGAACCACACAGCACAGCGTCTTTTGCTGCTGGACCTCAGCTGCTTCGCAGACGCACGGTCACGAGCGCCGTATTAATTCCAAGGCTGAGCTAAGTTCAATAGTGCAACTCACCACTGCAACCATGTGCCAGGTACATGCACCATGCACTGCACATTAAACAAATAATATCATGGCCCCTTTCCTTAAAGGAGACACAGTTTGGTGAGAGACATGACGCAGTATGAAAGATGCCATTCTGTAGATAAACAGCTGGTATAGTGATAATGCAGAAGGAAGAGAAGTAATTCCAGCTGGGGAAGACCGGGCGAGTTCAAAGGAGCAGTAGGTAGGTCTCAGGGATGACCAGAGCTAGGGGAAGGCACAAAGGGAGCGTTGGGACATTCTAGCAAAGGGAGCAGCGTGTGCAGAGGCATATCAGTGTGCGGCATGGCCTGTCTGGGGAAAAGCGACAGACAGGTGGGGCATTCAACCTCCAAGGATTTCTCACATCAGTCACACCATCCGCTGGCTTTGTCACCAGTCTAGGCCAAGACCTCACTGGCCCTGGATGGTGCAGGAACAGGACTGTGTACCTAAGTGATCACCCATACCCACTCTTGTTTGTCCCTTATTAAAACAGAGAATGGAACCAAGAAGTCTCCCCAGGTGTTTCCCATCGACTCTGCTCTCGCTCCATCCATCACACTGTTTCACCTGTTCATAGCCCCACCCGCTCCCTAAAACTGTTACATATTTTCTTCTGTGTTTACTATTTATCCACCCCGTCAGAACTGAAGGTTCATGAGTAAGAAGTATCACCAGAACCTCAAATAGTGCCTGGCACATAGTAGGAGCTCAATATTTGCTGAATGAATCCCCTGCTTAAAACTTTTGAGAGCTCCCTGATACACTTAGAATAAAATCTAAAACCCTTCACAGGGCTCCTAAGGCCATCTACGTCTCTCGTTTTTCCATCCGGTTTCATGTCACACTACCCTCCCCCCCTCACTCATTATGCTTATGTCACACTGGGCTTTTTCCTGCCTCGAGATCTTGACTTTGCCTGGAATGTTCTTTCCCTACTCCTTCTCTGCTAGATCCTTTAGATCTCAGAATACATGTCTCCTCAAAGAGGCCTGCAGCTAGTTCAGAAAGTATTTGAATATCTACTATGGACTAGGTACTGTGTCTGGTGGCTGGAGAATACAAGAAACAGAAAAAAAAAAGGAAGAAAAATCCCGTGTCTGCCCTCAATCTAAATCAGGTCCTTCTATTCTTTGTTAGATTCCATCACTTCCGAACACGTTTCAAATGTGCAATCATAAACCCATTGCTTCAGCCCACTTGCCTAGCTGATTCGAGCAGGAACAATGTCTGTGATGGACATTCCTTTATCTCCAGCATCCAGCACAGTGCCGGACACAGGGCACCTGCTCAGCAAGCGACAGATGAGCCAGGGGCTGGTTTGTGTTAGGGCTGAGGGTCAGGCAGAAGTGAGAGGGGGCGCGAGCGAGCGAGTGAGCGAGCGAGGCATGATGAGGGTCAGGCTATGCAGGGCTCACACGCTGGCCAAGCTGACTATGTGAGGCAGACGCAAACACGGAAGCCTCTCCTTCTCTACCATATTCAGCCTCCTTAGCTCAGCACTGTCACTTGCTTTATAGGATAAATAATATATCGGGATGCCTGGGTGGCTCAGTCGGTTGGGCGTCTACCTTCAGCTCAGGTCATGATCTTGAGGTCCTGGGATCGAACTCTGCATCAGGCTCCCTGCTCAGCCAGGAGTCTGCTTCTCCCTCTCCCTCTGCCCTTGCTCCTGCTTATGCTCTCTCTCTCAAATAAATAAAATCTTTAAAAATATACATATATGAAATTTAATATACTGCCTTAACCCCAACTAATTTCTTGCAAACAAAAACCATCTGTGAATCATGTGTTAGATCAAACCAGTCTGTCCCTCTGAAAAAAGGGTAAAAATAAATACATCTGATAATTACTATAGATTGTTATATTGTTTATTGAGAAAGATTCTTTAACCACAAAATTTGCCCTTTTAAAGTGTACAATTCAGTGGTTTTAGTATATTCACAAAATCGTGCAATCATCAGCACCGTCTCATTCCAGAATATTTTCACTACCCCAATCAGCAGTAATTCCCTACTCCCCCTAAGTCCTGGCAATCACTCATCTGTAGATTTGCTTATTCCTGATCTTCCGAGTAAATAAAATCCTACAGAATTTGGCCTTTTGTGTCTGGCTTCTTCCACTTAACATGTTTTTTCAAGGTTCACCGTGTTATAATGGGTGTTAGTACTTCATGCCTTTTACAACAGAGTTTTAAAGGAGTGTTTATTTTCCTTGATACAATACTATATTATCTACCAGAAGTTGCCATAAAAACAGCTGAAATAACATCACAACAAAGAAAAAGAACTTACTTGCACTGGGCATGAAAATATTTGATCAGATTCTGAAGTAAATCCACTCCCTTTTTAATCTTAATTTCATTGACCTTCAGCAGATACTGTTAAAAAAACACAAAAGGGTATGTCAGACCCAGAACACGAGCTTCTGAGCACAGATCATTTTCTCTACTTCTCCGACATCTTTCGCTAAGGGTAGAGGTCATGGCAGGTGCTGAGCATTTTCTGAAACACCAGAACTGAACATTTCTCTGTTTGGTGCCAAATGAATTATCCAACGTCCAGGTAATTAAACATTTAACTTTAGGTGCCAAAAACTCCTAGTAGTAAGATGCTGGATCTTAACCTGCTAGAGGAAATTTTCTTCGAGCTGCACAAAGAAGGCAGATGGTTAAAGTGAATGGGCTCTTTCTGTCCGCATCTTTCTGCACCCCCCATCCCTTCTCTGGGCAGGTCATCATCTGCAACACTAACTGCCAGTGTTTTGTAGTTGAGACTCTTATCACCACATCTCTAATCCTGGCACTGAAAAAAAATGTGATTGTTATAAAAACCAAATTTTAAGTTGAAATGAACGAAAGGCATTTTTAACTTGGAGAATTCAGGAATTACCACTAAAATATCAGGAAGTCCCAGGAATCTACAAAACCAGCCTCAGGAAATACATTTGTTCTTTGCTAAAGGTTTACAGAACAAAAGACTCCATAAATTCCCTGTTCCCTCCACCGTCAGGACATGGCATAAAGAACTCTGAGGACCTGTCATCTCTGAGACTGGATGCCCCCGAAAGAGCGGCCACCACTGCTGACCACACAGGCTTCTCAGCCATAACCTGGGAAGCTCACGTTCAAGCCAGAAGTCCAGCCGGAGAGAAGAAGCTGCTACAAAATCAACTACAAAATGTCCTTTTCCTACACCAAGCACCTTTATGTGTTCTCCTTCCTTCGGTCTGATATTTATTCACTGTTAACCGAATAAGATGCCTGGCAATGTCAAAATGGCTAAGTGGTTAATAAGATGCTTCTCTGTGACTTAAGTCAAAACTTAAAACGTGTGGACCTTTTGACACAGAACTTCTACTTACAGGAACTTACCCTCTAAGAAGATAATCATAAGAGTTTACAAAGATGAATAGAAAACAAGGTTCAGTGCGGACTTGTTTGTAAAAGTAACAAATGGCAACCCAAATGTAATGAATGGAAAATTAAAGTATGGTTCAGCCACACACAAAAATTGCTATGTAGCCATGAAGCCAATAAAGCAGAGACTTTCCGGCACCGAAGGATGCCCAAGACATACAAGTGAGTCAAAACAATCAGGTTACAAAGCACCAGTAGAGAACGATCCTGTTTATACAAATTATTTTTATGAAGGTACACAGAGGGATATATGAAAGATGGTAAAGTACTTATCTTCTGGTGAGTAAAATTTGGGGTGATTTTTAATTTCATATATATAGACTAATTTTTAAAAGTATATTTTTATAATCACAGAAAAACAACAGGATCTCTCATACATTCCCCACACACAGATGCTCTGTATTACCTATTTATTACACCACACTGAATTTCTCTACAAAATTCGTTTTGAAGAAAAAGTTCCACAATAAAATAAACACCTGAAAGCCATTCTTCTAGATTAGATCTTGGGCATCTAAAATTTCAAACACCTAAACAATGGCAAGCATTTATGAAACTTGAGGGCTTCAGTGTGAGGAACTGGCTGAACAACTTTACCATAATTAACTACAGCAATCTATTCACTTTGAGATGTCAGATTCTGGGGGGACTGCTTTTCAAACGTTCCTCCTTCCCCCACGGAGAGCCCTTTCCAGCCCACTTCTGTTTGGCCCACATGTACATCCTTCATCGGATGTGTCCTCCTCTGGAGACTCCAGGCCTGCTTCTGCACACATCATGCTAACTGCTGGATCTGCTAGGCTCAGCACACATGGGGCCCCAAACCTCCCCGGGGGGCTGGCCTAGCAGGTGTGCTGAGAGCCATCATCTAGACAGTACATTTGCAATATAATAAACTATTTCACCAGTGCACAGGATGCATTCACCTAGACCTGGAGGGGAAAGGTAACTGGTGTTGGGTGCATAGCACAGAAAGCAATGCAGCGCCCCTCACCTCAAAGATACACTAATTTTCACAATTCACTAAACGTTTTTAAATCTTTTTTTTTTTTTTTTAAAGATTTTATCTATTTATTTGACAGAGAGAGACACAGTGAGAGAGGAGCACAGGCAGGGGGAGTGGAGGGGGGAGAGGCAGGCTTCCCGCCGAGCGGGGAGCCCGATGCGGGGCTCAATCCCAGAACGCTGGGATCATGACCTGAGCCGAAGGCAGGCGCTTAACGACCGAGCCACCCAGGCGGCCCCACTAAACGTTTTTAAACAAGCAGTCTTTTGCAGAGTTTAAGCAAATGTGTTTCCTCCTTACTAGCCAAACAAAAGAGCATAACCTGAACACAACATACACACGCACACCTGTTCCAAACCCATTCTTTGTAAAATACCGCTACTTAATTTACCCCAATTAAACAGAAATAATACCTAGTATTTGCGTAACAAACAGCAATTTCCTATGCCATCTCACACCCTCTGGGCTGATTCCTGGGACACTGTGTGAAATTGGCCAGACAGGCATTGTTACATATGAGGTCTGTTTACAAAACAACATGTATCTAAAAACATCCACTCTCCTCTCTACAGTAAGACTTGGAGCTTAGTTAACTTTCCAAATATTCACTTAATGAAAAAAAAAATAGCAAAGGAAGAACAAAGGAACAAAGACGACATGAGACATAAAAAAAAAAAAGAGCAGACATTAATCCAACCACATCAATAGCAACATCAAATGTGAATGGATTAAACAATCCCATCAAAAGGCAGGGACTGTCAGACTAGATTTAAAACACACTGTCTACAGGAAACACACTTTAGATTCACTGACACAGGTTGAAAAAGAAATTCCATGCAAACAGAAACGAAGAGAGCTGGAGTGGCCATACTAATGTCAGGCTAATATCCTATCCTTGATCCTGGGACTGGTTCTGCTCCAGTGACCACTTAAGATTTAAATATACTCCTAAAATAGACATTTCTACAAGCTAAACTCCCGCTGCAATTAACAAACATTCTGAAGTCAGAAAGTGCCGCGTGGCTCAGCTTTGCTGTTGACCGCTCCCAGGGAACGAGAGTAGGCTGAGCCAGTTTCAGTAGCTGTCACGATCATTCCTGCGCACTCCGCACATCGAAAGCTGAAGTCTGCACAGGCTCGGCACATGCACCGTCAAGCTCAAGGGGCTTCACAGCCACTGCCGGGAGGGCGAACCCTCAGGCAGAGCTTGGCATGGTGTCCAGAGGCCTTTTTTACAACGACCCACAAGCAAGGCATAACAAGGCTGGAAGCAAAGGCCTTCATGACTCGTTTCTGGTATCTTGCACCCCTCAGCCTCCAGCAGGGACATGTCCCAGAGCATCAGTGCTGCCATTTCCCTCCCCATCCCCAAAGGCAAGGGCTCAGGCTGCAGAACGGAGCGGAGCAGAGGAGCTCCCCAGGGCCTCCTGCCTTGATGAGTGAATTCGGTGCAAGCACTTCAGAGGCAGGTGGCTTGGCTTCCACAGTATGTAGTGCGCTCACTCTCCCTCCCTCCCTCACTCAGAGACCCACAGGGGACCAGCTGCAGGTTTTTCCAGCTGACTTCTCCCTGGCCCTCCTCATGGCTTCCACTGCTATAATGGGAACCCAGATACCTCATTAAAAAACACTAATGGAGAGTATTTTAGTAATGTACCCGTGAGAGGTGAGTCTGGGTATGTGTATGAGGCCAGAGAGGATGTTTCTTTAGATTCTTCCCTACCTTTAATTAATGGTTGGGGTTAGATTCAGCTCATTCCACCCTCCAAGAGACTCAGCCTCCCCTAGTAAGAGAAATTGGACAAATGGAGTCCACTAATGCATTGCTGTGATGTCTGAAGCCTCTGGGAAGCATGCACTCTCCAGAGGAGTTCACATGCCAGTGAAGGCAGGCTGCCTGCAGCCCACCACCTGGAACCCACCACCCCCTGGAACCTGCACTTCACCCCTCCCAACCCTGGCACCCCCGGCGCTCACCCTGCACATCTGTAGCTGCAGCCCGCACCCCCGGGGCTCACCTCGCGCACCCATAGCTGCAGCCCGCACTCCCGGGGCTCACCTCGCGCACCCGTAGCTGCAGCCCACACCCCTGAGGCTCACCTCGCACATCTGTAGCTGGAAAAGCCGCCGCTCCTTCTCCATCTCTTCGGCAATTTCAGCCCCGCTGATTTCAGTGCGAATCATTCCATGCAGTTTGGCATGCTCCTTCTTCTCTTTTTCAATTTTGGTTCTACAGGTGAAAAAAGCAAGGATAATTTGAGATGCCTTGGCACGGCACTCCAGACAAGACAGGCTTGCAGGGATCCCATTACCCAGCCTGCAACACAAACGTGCATGAGTCTTTTGCAAACAAGACAGCCTCTTATTTATTTTTATTAATTTTATTATGTTAGTCACCATTACATTACATCATTCGTTTTTGATGTAGTGTTCCATGATTCATTGTTTGCGTGTAACACCCAGTGCTCCACGCAGAACGTGTCCTCCTTAATACCCATCACTGGGCTAACCCATCCCCCCACCCCCCTCCCCTCTAGAACCCTCA